CTGAGTTCCAGGAGGGCTTCATTTTAGCTCATTGTCTCTAGTGCTCCACTGACTGCCTGGCACAGGAGTATTTGTTGAATGGGTGACTGAGTTTTCCCTAAAGCAACCCTCTATGCTGGCCGCTACCCAGAGGAGGAAACTGAGGCTCCAAGATGCCAAACAGTTTGTTCAAGGTCACACAGCTGGTGAGGCCGATGGGGGTATAACTGACCCCTGGCTCGGCTGGTCTTGGGGTCTCTGTGTTTCCATATCTCAGCTGGCTCCCACCGCACTCACCTGGTTGGCTCTACACTGTGGGCATGAACTACATCATCATTTTTGGACGTTTCAAATGCTCCGTAGCAGCCGTGTCAAAGGAAAACAGGTGAAAATAATTGTATAATGTAATTTATGTAATCAATACATCAAAGATGCTATCATCCCAACATGTAATTAATATAAAAATTAGTCAAGAGAAACTTCACACCCTCTGCCTTTACACGAAGCCGTCTCAGCCACGTAGGCTGTATGTGTATGGTCATCACCGGGCGAAGGGGCCACACTGCACACACGCGGTGGCCTCAGGTGGCTGGTGGCTGCTGTGCCAGACAGCCAGGCCTCGCCTGCAAGCTGCCTAGTGTCCCTTGACTAGGTCTTCATGCACAAAATCCTCACAAGATGATTGTGAGCCCATGGCTATTTTAAACTCCATGTCTGTTTGTGAGTTTAAAAAAGGAAATAAAAGCATTTAATAGGGAGTGAAAAACAACATTGGGAATGCCCTCCGGCCTGCTGGCAGGTTCATCCCCCTTTCTGGGGAGCCTGTGCTGGAACGGCCTGGGGCGGCCTGAGGCAACAACCTGATTCACGCCTGCACGCCTGCACGGCCCTCTGGATCTTCCAGGAGCCAGCCCCACTTGGCGGAGGCAGCTCCTGGATTAGCTGCCCTGAACCAAGGAAGCCTTGCCCAGAGATAAAGGGAAATGTGTTTCATCATTACAAATTGTTCTGATTCTGGTCTGGCTCCTGGCAGAGGCCTGGGCTTGGACGCCTGACTGGCCCTGCTGTGCACGCTAGCTGGGGCACCACCGCCTGGTGGCTGCGCGTGCATGTGCGGGAGCGTGCGTCTTTGTGTGTGTGCGCGCAGGCCGCTTTTCCTAGGTGGGAGGGAGGCTCAGGCCTGACCCTGGTAAGGGCTCCTGGCCCCCTTTCCCACATTAGAGAGCTGAGACAAGGGAGTGTGAGGGCAGACACATCACCAAGGCCGAGAACAAGGGGCAGCGGGCAGCTGGGACTTGGGTATGCCTCACCCGACGGCTGTGCACGTTCAAACTGGGCACCAAGTGGACGTGGGCTCCAGTCTCGGTGCCTAGACTGCTGGTGGCCACAGCAGCTGCCACTCCCTTGTCTGTGAACCGTAGGACAAATGCCACCTGAGCACTTCTGCTTGTGCAGAGGAGCCCATGCCCTCATAGCTGCCTGCCCCAGGGCGGAGCCACTCCTTGACTCTGGCCCTGTGCGCAAATGGCCTGGCTTCCAGCCTCTCAGCGCTCCCATCTGTAAAATGGGGAGACGTGGCAGAGATCTGCACCCCTCTGTGTCTGAAATGAAATCACACAGGGACCCTGGTGCTCAGTGGATGTCAGTTACGACTCCCACCGGTAAGTAACAACAATCCTAGCAATAACGGCATGGTAGTGGGTGCCAGGCCCCAGACAGGCACTGGCAGACAGGCAGAGAGGGACGAAGTGAGGTGGGGTTAGGGTGATATGCAGAGTCACAAGGCAGGTGCCCCTCTGGCCCCTTACTTTGCTCTGAAGAATGGCCAAGGCCCTTCCCACTCCTCCCTCACCATGGGGTCATGGCAGTATGGGTAGGCAGCCAGCAAGTGGCCGTCGCCCAACCAGTCACCCCAGCTGCATGGCACCCCCTCTCTCCACCTATTTAGAGCACCTGACTCACTCTAATTATGGGCCTGCAGGCACGTCGGGGCGAGCCGGAGACGCCCGAGATAGCCCGGAAGCACCGGCTCTGGGGGCGACCGGACATCCAGGCGGCCAGGTGCACCTTCCCCTCCCGCCAGCACTTTCCCACCCTGGAGATCCCTGCGGCGCCCTCTCTTCCCGCCAGGGGCCCTCTGGCTGGCCTCTGGGGTCGGTGCCCGGGGCTGGGGTCGGATGGCCCGGGTGAGGGGTGGAGGCTCGAGGGGCGGGTCTCCCTCCCGCACACTGCTGGGTGCCCGTCGGGGGTCCGGTCCGTGCCTCAGCAGGGCCAGGGTGGGGATGCCCTACAGCCGAGAACGCCACGCCCACGCTCGGCACGGCCGCCCACGCCTCCTCCGATTCCTATGTATATTTAGCCTCATTATCAAATATTTGCAGTGAACCGTGTGAACCGCCTAATAGCGGCTGAGAGGGAAACTCGATCCTGGGCAGAAAGAAGCCGGTGACCACGCCTGCTCTGCAAGGAGCGCGGACCCGGCGCGCCGGGCAGGTGCAACCCGGGCCTCCGGACTTACGGCTCCCTCTGCGGGGTGAGCCTCCGAAGCCCACCTCCTCACCCAATCCCCCCTTCCCGCCGGCTGAAAGGGAGCCGCTTGGGCTCTGAGTGGGTGGGGCGTCACGAGCAACAAGGCCGGGGAGGAGGGAGCCCTCGCGTGGGTTCTCATCCAGGTTGTTGACCTCTTGGTCAAGTCAGTTCTACCTCTACATCGAATTCTTGGAAACCGGGCTCCTGGACCTATTTCTGCCAGTTTCTCCGGGGGTGGGGGAGGGCGAGGGCGGGGCAGGGGTCCTTGCCCCGCCCCAGCTGGACCCCGTCGGCCCCATTCTCCCCCAGAGGCGCCTGTGGCACGGTTTTTGCCGCCCTCCCACAGCGGCTGTTGTGTGGTCGCTATGACGACTCGTTGAGGTTTTATTTTTAATAGTTGCCGGCGATTAGAGGGACTGGGGCACCGCTCCCCTCCAGTCCGGGGGGCGGGATGCACCCTGGGTTCACCCTTGCCTTCCGCCCTTGAGCTGGCCTGAAACTCCTGTCGAAAGCGCCCCCCAACTGCCATGCTGGGCGCAAACTCCAGCTGGGCACCCCTGAAGTGCAGCCAGGAAGGGGAGAGGAAGGAGGCACCCATCTAAGCCCAAGCAGATGTGCAAAGTTCCTCCTTCATTCCTACACCCACTGTAGAACCCAGTCCCTTAACCCCAAGGGAGTGTCCTCAGGCCCCTCTGCAGGAGAGGAATCCGGGGCTCAGTCTGGGTGATGCAGTCAGCTTGTAGGCGATGGCTCGGGCTGGTCCAGCCTGAGGCCTGGGGGGTGCGAGTTCAGCTGCCTTCCCCAAGCCTGCCCCTGGTCTCCCTGTGAGCCGTCGAAGGTTCCAACCGGATGGACAAGGACTGACCCTCATGTGCTTCTGAACGTTTCCAAGTTTACCCTGGTTCTACCTGGGTCCTCCTCCATCCTGACCACCTGGAGAGCAGGCCTGGTCGGTGGTTCACAGCGAGGGGCTGCCGTCTGGGAAGGCAGGGGCATGGGGGGACTGCAGGTGTGTGGAGGCACTGGAAGGGCGCCGGTAGGCCTGGGCCCTCTGGGAAGGGCAGGAGAGGTCCTGCCTCCACTCCCCTCACCCCCATCCCAAGGTATCTGGGGGAAGGCGAGCGCCCCCCGAAGCGCCTTCCCGACTTGGCCTTTGAAATGGAGCCCGCCGAGCTGAGGATGAAAGACCGCCCGCAGGCTTCGCGTTTACTGCCTTTGTCTGGCGGGAGCGCGGCGAGTCGGGGAGGGCCTAATCCACAGGATGGGGCAGATGGGGGCGGAGGCCTGGGGCTGGCGGCATTCCAGGAGGCCACCCACCCACCCACCAGGGAGTCTCCTAGCCTTCAGGGGCCTCGCCGGCTAGCGTTGGGGTGGCGAGGCCCGCCTTCCCTCCTAGCCCTAGTTCCAGGCTCGGCTGCCCCCTCGAGGGACCAGCCGGGGGCCTATCCCACCTGGTGTTGGCGGGTGGAAGCTGCCCAGCTCGGCACACCTGCCCTTTCGTGGCAGGGGAGTGGTCCAGCCCGCATGGGCCTGGGCCTCCCGCATGCTGGTCCCCTGGCATCGCGCTCTGTGCGGAGCCTCAGCCGGAGGTGGCGCTCTGTACCCCAGCCTATCCCGGCGTGGGAGGCTCAGACTCCCGGGGGTTCCTCCCAGAGAGGTTCCTTTCTCCTCCTTCCCTTCCGCCCCCTCGAGTTCCTGGCTCAGGCCTCAGCCCAGCCTTCCACGAGGGAGTGGGGACGCGGGGTCCCAGGGTGGGGACTAGGCACGCTGCAACCCCCTCCTCCGACCTAGGCGCTCTCCCATCTCGGAATGCGGGTGGAGGTTCCACATTCAGGCGCCCCAGGCATCGGATTCTGGGCGGGGGCGCGTGGCAGCCGCCAGGTGAGTGGCCCAGACGCACCCCTAAATCCGCCCCACCTCTCACCAGAGACTCACTCCCCCTCCTTTTATGGAGACGGGGAGGCAGGGGCCCTCGATCCTAGCGGGTGGAAAGAGGCCCGAGCGTCGGGGCGGGGGGCCGGAGGCGGGGGCCGGCTCGCTTTTGCCCTTTTCGGCGTAGCAGCTCTGGGCGCTGCCCTCCGCCGCCGCTGGGGCCGAGGGAGGAGAGCCGACGACGGCGGCTCTTCTGCGGCGGCCTCCTCCCCTCCCCGTCCGGTGCCGCAGGATTGCAGCTGGCACTGGAGGGTGGGCAAGCTCGAGGGAGGGGCGCGCGCGGAGCCCTGCCGGGCGAGCGGAGCCCGGCGGCTGTGCTCGGAGCCGGGCGCGGGGCTTTGATGGATTTTACTGCCTGCGTGAGCGCCGGCGTGTGCTCACTGCGGCGGCGGCGGCGGCGGCGGCCGGGCCCTGCCCGGCCCGTGCGGCCCCCGCGCGCTTCCGAGGTGCGGGTCTGGGGCCCGGAATCCGGGGGTGGGGAGGGGGAGGGGGGCGGGGGAGGGGCGCGGCGGCGGCGGCGCTATAACCCCCTCCCCGCCGCCGGCCGGCTTCACACGCGCGCCCTGCGGAGCCCGCACAACTCCGGCAAGCCGGGCCTGCCGGCGCCTCCTCCTCGTCCTCCTCCTCTCCCCAGCAGCGGCGGCGGCGGCGGCGGTGGCGGCTTCAGCTCGGCCCTGCGCCCGCCCTTAGGCCATCGCGGCGAGGCCCCGGGCGGGCGGCGGCTGCCGGGCGGCGCGGCCACGGCCGCTGCCCGGCTCGGGCCGGCGGAGGGCGGAGCGCGGAGCCAGAGCCGAGGGCACACCGCGGAGGGGCGCACGCAGGCCTTCGGGCCGCGCCGTGCTGGGCCGCGCCGTGCCCTGCCGGGCGGCGGCTGCAGCAGGAGGCCGGAGGCGAGCGCGGGGCCGGCGGTGGGCGCGCAGGGCCGCCCGCAGCCCGCAGGGAGAGCGCGAGCCTGCGGCCGGGGCCCGGCCGGGCGTCCAGACAGGTGATGGGTGGTGCGGCGGCGGCGGCTCCAGCCTCGCTCCGGGGTCCCTCTCGGGGCTGATGCCCGCAAATATGCAGAATTACCGGCCGGGTCGCTCCTAAAGCCAGCGCCGGGGAGCGAGCGCGGCGGCGGCCAGCACCGGGAACGCACCAAGGAAGAGGCCCAGCCCCCGCCCTCCGCCCCTTCCGTCCCCACCCCCTACCCGGCGGCCCAGGAGGCTCCCGGCGCGGCGGGCGCGGCGAGCGCGCACTCCCTGCTCCTCCTCCTCGCTGGCGCTGCCTGCCTCTCCGCACTCGCTGCTCGCGCCGGGCGCGCTCCGCCGGCTCCCTGCTCTCCGCGCCACCCTCCTCCGGGCCGCGCTCCCTGAGGGATGGTACTGAATTTCGCCGCCACAGGAGCCCGGCTGGAGCGCCCGCCCCGCGGCCTCGCCTCCCCGCCGAGCCGCCAGCGCCTCGGGACGCGATGAGGACCTGGGCTTGCCTGCTGCTCTTCGGCTGCGGATACCTCGCCCATGCCCTGGCCGAGGTGGGTGCCACCCCCGCGCCCCGTCCCCTCTCCGACTCCCCCGGCGCACGCCTCCTGCAGCCGCCCGCGGGCCGGGGCGCCTCGGGCTCCGGGGCTCTGCGGAGCGCATTTTGATTTCTGCTAGGGTGGTCGATTTTTTTGATTTTTCCCAACTGGGTTTTATTTTCTGCCATGCCGAAGTGTGTCTGGTGAGTTTCCAGCGTGTTGCGTCGCTCTGCCGTGGAGGGACGGAGTGGCGCGGGGTGGACGAGTGGGGAGAAACTTCGGGGGGCGCGGGCTCCTCTCCGCGAGGGGAGTCCGGGGGGCGGCGGACAATGCGGTATCGAGGTGCGGGGAGCGCGGAAGGGGGTGTGTGTGACCTGGCGGAACCAGTGGCGGGTAAACGGGCGGCTGCGGCGGCAGCCCCCGGCAGGCAGGGTGGGCAGTAAGGGGTCGCAGCACCCCCAGCCCCCTCCCCCCGTTCCTGTCCCTAAGCCTAGCCGGGTTGGCTGGGCCGGCGCAGTCCCGCCACCCCGGGGCCTGCTTACAGGTGGCTGAGTGAGGCTAGCCGGGCTGGGCCAGGCGCCCGCGCCCTCCCACCGCTGGCGTCCCCACCCCCCCAATGTCGAATCCCGAATCCCCGGGAGCTCTGCTGTAATGAATGACTTTCTGCAGCCCCCGTCGTGGGAACTTAGTGTTTGAGACCCCCTACCCGCCCCCCCAGCAGCGACCCCCGACTCCCTTTAAAAATCTGGAGGGAGCGGGAGGTGAGGGGGAGCCCACGAGGCGGGGGTGGTCTGGGCAGGGACCGCGAGCTGCGAGAGGTGGAGATTTAACCCTCCCATTGCCATGCAGTCTCTCCCAGCCGCCAGCTGGATTTGGGGCGTCTTGGGCGGCGCTAGGGCCGCGGCCGGGCCGGAGCGGGTGGGGCGCGCGTGTGAACGAGTGAGTGCGCGCGCGCGTGTTTTTGCGACGGAGACCCTCGACCCCGCATGTTCGGCCCGGGATTCCGGGGTGTGAAATTTAAGCCGCTGGCTGGATTAAAGTGTTAAGGCTGCCGTGACTTTCGTCGCCGATCCGTGACGCATTTCAACTTGATCTTTCTGGATGTCGATTTCACTATTAAATCAGAAACTCCTTGGGCTCCCAGAGGCCCCCAGACCTCCTGTAACTGACACCCGGGGCAGAGGGTCCGCAGTACTGGGCTTTTGTTTGAAAATTTAAAGGTGGGAGGGTTTTCTGTCTGCAAAGGCGGACCTGGGTGGGAGCGGAGAATTTGGGGTCTCACCCAGCCCCACCCCTGGCCTCAGACTCCAGGGCCCCGGGCAGGGGTGCGGCAGCCTGCGAGCGCGGGGGGTGGGGGGCGCAGGGCACGAGCTGGCCGGGCCGCGGGTGCTGACCGTGTGTCTCTGCTTGCAGGAAGCCGAGATTCCCCGCGAGGTGATTGAGAGGCTGGCGCACAGTCAGATCCACAGCATCCGGGACCTCCAGCGACTTCTGGAGATAGACTCCGTAGGTAAATCGCGTCCCTTCCCTCGGCGCGCGGGGCGGGTGTGCGGGGTATGCGCCCCGCGCGGACTCCCGCGCTCGGGCCGGGCGGGCGCCGCGCAGGAACGCACCGAAAGGTCAGAATCCAATCCCGGGCCATAAAAGCCCAGGCGGATGAGTCAGGAGTTTCTCTTCCAATCCCCACTTTCTCTCCCGGCGGCGGCCGCAACTTGCTCCCTTGCCCGGGGATTGTTTTTGCATTTAAGGAAAATGCCGCGTGTGTCACTGAAAGTTCAGCCGCATAGGGGGCGCCGGCGCCCGGGCCAGGTGTGCGGGCTCCGGGCCTGTCCTCGGGCCGGGAGGAGCAGCGGAGCGGGCCTGGGCCTGGGCGCGGAGCCCTGGCCGTGCGCCCCGCGGGCGGGCGCGCGCGGGAGGAGCTGCCCCCTGCCCGGGGCGCTGTGTCATCGCGTGAACTGGTGCCCCGCTCCTGCGGCGGCAGCGGGGCCTTTGATTTTTGGAGACCCGTGCCTTCTTCTTTTCACAGGCCAGTAGAAAGTCGCCTCTTGGAACCGTCTGGGGTTTGGGAACTATTTTGGGGCTCACCCCCAGGCCCCGGAGCCTAGCCACTCTATAGATTATTTGTAAACAGGGAATTTTGAAGATGTTTAGGGTCGGCTGCGGAGTTGGGACGGACTGGGCGAAGGTCCCCTGGGACCCAGGTTGTTGTTGCTGCTGGTGGTGGTTGCACTGCGGGGTGGACCCGAGGGAGCCCTTTCCTCCAGGACCAGGATTCTGACCCACGTCTCTGTGGTCCCCTGCTCAATATTCGTAAATTGTTGGAATGAGGCGCCTGCGAGGGTCAGCTCCAGAACTACTCTATCCGAGAACATCTGTTTGTGTCCTGTAAAAAGAGGCCCAAGATGGACTCGACAGAGCCGGTGACTGAAGGTGGTCTGTGGAACATTCAGTGAAGGTTTCTCTCTCTCACGGCAGACTACCCTGAAAGAGGGGGGCCGTGGGGGAATTAAGTAAAATCACATGGTCTAGTCATTTGGAAATTTGTACCTAATTATGGTGGTGGAGAGGCCTGAACTATTTTCATTTCATGCCAAGACCATTTTCTAGCAAGGCCGATGGTTTCTGTAGTTTCGTGACCCAGGAAATCCTTTGGCTGATCCTTATCAGGAAGGGGGTAGAATTTCACTTGAAGATCAGAGTTGGGCCAGGGGGGATTTGGGACTGGTTCCTTGATGTGTAACCCTGGGGAGCAGGATTTGGCTCTGGCTGGCTGAAGAACACACTGCCGGCACTTTGCTGGACCCTGGTGGATTTGTGCTAGTGAAGAGACTGCTTCCCTGAGAGGGTTCAAGGTTTTTCATTTTGTTTTGTTTTGTTTTGTTTTTTAGCTTGCGGGAACTAGGCCTGTGAAGGGCTGGCCTCCCTGTGGGCCGGCTTTGGGATGCCACCGGGAAATGGGCCATTCACTTTCTGTTGGGACCATTCTTATTCTGGTCTCTGCAGCCCCGCCCCCACCCCCCACCCATTAACACATTTTGCATTTGCAGCTTGGTGGGTTATGCTGATGGCATTCCTGACCTGGGGGCTTGTGGGCCCAGAACGTCCCTGTCTCCCGGGAGTCCGGGAGGTCAAGCTCAAAAGGCTGGATGCACCAGCTATTCCCCCGAGCTGGTTTCAAATTGCCCCCTTATAAAGAGCCCTGGGTCCTCCTCCTGCACCCCCACCCCCTATGTGTCACATGGTTTGGGGTCCGACTAGGATTCTGGGGTAGGACTCCTCGTGATGGGGATACTGGGAGCCGGGCTTGGGGATCTTCCGTGCTCACAGGCCCAGGAGGCCCTTTGGGACCCACATCCCCACGTGGGTTTCCATCCTGGTCTGGCCGTGTCACAGGGACATGGCAGCTGGGAACCAGGGCAGTGTATGGCCTCTGGCCAGAGTGTAGGAGTTGCGACTGGCTGCTTCTAAAGTTTGTTTTGGGGTCTTTCCCCCCCAACACCTGTTCCTGCCCAAAGTGAAGAGCTGAAACAGATCTTGCTGCTGGGGAAGGTTGTAAACAGCTGAGGGGTCAGTTGTAAACAGCTGAGGACTGAGCTGCCTCCAGGCCCTGGAGCCTGTTTAGGATCCCTGAGGAAGGAGCTAGGGCATGGAGAAAACCAGCCCCCTAGCCCATGGTCCTTCTGTCCCTCCTGCCTCCAAGGGTGAGCCAGCCCCTCCAGGTTGGAGCTCAGAGTGTAAAGCTAGTGAGGGCTGGAAGCAGAAAAGGCGTTTTCTTACAGGCTGACTCCTCCCTTCTGGTATGGGCGGGGCTTTGGGTGGACCTGTAGGGTCCTGGGTTCCTCCCCATGGGCAGCGGCATCCCCATTTTACAGATGAAGGCTGAGACCTAGGATTCCTACCCCTGGGGCAGTGAGAACAGCCCTGAGCCTGAGCATGGCCAGGGGTGTATGGAGTTGGGGGGGTCGCTGAGTCTCCACGTGGGGCTTTTGGGTAGAGAGACCAGTGTGTGGGCTTTGAGTGACCAGTATCTGGGGTTCAGGACTTGGGGGAGTGTGATGAGAAACAAGCCATTGAGCCGGGTGGCAGCGGTGGTGCCCTCGTGGGGGTCACTGAGTGACCGATAGGTTAATGTCCCCATCCTGGGCCATCAGTGCTGCACCAGGACTGAAGGCTGGAGGGCTTGTCCCTGTCCTGAGCTGTCACTTGGACATTTGTGCACAGGAGACAAAAGGGAAACCCACTTGATTAAGTGTCCTGAGAGCAGTTTTAGGGCATCGTTCAGGCGGGGCCTTCTCTCCGAAGTCACTGCTGGGTCACTTCTCAGGCGGCATCAGTCAGAAGGCCGCTTCCCCCATTAGCGCAGACCGGCAAGCTGCGCTGGCCACCCATCGTGATCGGGGGCAGAGGAGGGCCGGTTTGACCAGGAGTGATTTCTTCTCTGCCTCTTGTCTTGAAAGCAATCTACCGTTTCAGATTTCAGCGCTGTTGATAAGCTGCCTGGCCGTTGTCTTCTCTATTTGTTCAGCCGAGAGGCCTGGATGGGGCTCCCGGTCCTCCTGCGGCCATGCCCCCGCTGAGCATTTGTGACTCGGGCCTCAGTCTCCAGGTGTGGGAAGGGGGGCGCCTTCTGTGGATACATCACGATTGTCTCCGGGGAAGCGATAGGTGACGCCTGGCCCGAGTGAGTCTCTGAGGCTAGTGGCCAGCGTGAAGCCCTCGGGAGTTGAGGGTTCCGCTGCTCTTTGGTTTGGGGACGTCAAGATGGCCACCATGGGACGGGAGTCATAAATGTCACTTTTTCATGAAAAAAATGCCTCTTGTAACAGTGGTTGGGAAATTCTTACTGCATGAATAGTCGTGTTCGAATCTTATTTTGGGTCTCGAAAAAATTAGCGGCACTGGAACATTGAGTCATTTTAAGTGAGAAGTTGGGTTCTTCCCAGACTTCAGTTTTCCGAAAGAACGGATCTTCTGCTGGTCACGCCTTTCGCCTGGTGTTGGGTTTTCGTTTTCAAAGAGTGGGAGTTTCAGATATGTTGGTTTGTAGATGGTCTCTGAGGCCCTGCTGGTCTGGGCACCCAGGGTTTGGGCTGGTGGCCAGGACGCCACAGAAGAAGTGTCGTGTGCAGCTGCTGGACCCCCTGGCTGTCAGAGCTTCTCAGACCCGGTGTCCCTACTCATCTACCGGGGCGCCGAGGAGGGAGGGGTGTGTGGGAAGAGACCCCCTCCCCCCACGGCTGGGTCTGGGGTTGATGGAGGGGGATGTGGAAGGAGACCCCCCCTCCTTCCGCAGCTGGGTCTGGGGTCAAGGCAGGGAGACCAGGTATGACCCACGTCAGCCATTCGGGCACAGGCGGTGTTGTCATGGGCCAGGTCGGTCCAAGTGTCCCTCCTACCCCACCTCTTTCATCCAGGAATGTGAGACACCCGGGACCTCCTAGGCTGCTCGGGGCACTGGGGTGGGAGAGAGTGGCGGCGTGCGTACCGGGGCTGTCATGGGCCTGGGGTGTGCAGGTCCAGTTCTGATTTAAGTGTGGGGATCATTACTGAGGTCAAGGGCAGCAAGCGCCCGTGCCTTCCTGCCAGCCGGCCTCTTGGCCAGGCCCCAGGGTTCCTGCTCCTTTCCTTCCCTGCTTGCGTTTCTTGTGGCCTCACAGTGGACTGGCCTCAGGACTGGGCAGGTGCCAGCTGTCGGTCCGGTTGGGGCTGGCTCCCGATGCCCCTCAAAGGTCAGGGTGCTTCGCTGAGAGTCGGTTTGGTGAGAAGGAGGGAGAGGGAGACATACGGGAAGGTCACAGCAGCAGGGTGGGCTGGTCCCTCGGGCGCCCTTCCGGGAGCTGGGGCTGGCTGCTGGCAGGGGGCCTGGTAGTTCTGGGTCTTCTGGAGGGAGGCCTTACCTGCTTCACCCTCACCTGGGGGGGGGGTGGTGAGCCATGGGAGACCACACGTAGCCCCTTTGCCACGGGTCCACAGCTTTGCTACAAGGTACAGCAAGGGTACCACACCCCGGGCCCCTCCATGTAGGCCTCACAGAGGTTGGTGGGGGGGTTTTGGCAGTTGGATCTGCAACTGTGGGAGTGGAGGGTCTCCCTGGGGATGCTGTGTGTCTGGGTGAGGCAGGCGGTAAGCACGGCTGGATAGGCCCCAGGGCTCCGCGCGGATGCGGTCCACGGCTCACCGTGTCCTTTCTCCCTGCAGGGGCCGAGGATCCTTTGGAAGCGAGTCTGAGAGCCCATGGGGGCCATGCCTCCGGGGGCCACGCCACCAAGCATGCCCCCGAGAAGCGGCCCGTGCCCATTCGGAGGAAAAGAAGCATTGGTGAGCCCTGGGCCTGCCGAGTAGGGTGCCGGGCTGGGGGGCTTGCCCCCACCGTGCCTTCAGGGGACCCGTCTCTTCCCTCCTCTGTAAAACAAAGGCCCAGGCTGCGCCGGGGCCCCAGCGACTCCAGCCCTGCCGCCCGCTGTCTCCCGAGGCCTCCCTCCTCTGCCGGGGGCGCCTCCCTGCCCTGGCCCGCCTGCTGCAGCCTGGCCTGGGCCAAGAGTTTCCAGGAGAGGAGGCCACATAAATTCCTTAAGTGCCCGGTCCTGTTGGGGCCTGTTCTGGAGAGGCCTCGCTGGAAAATGCGCTCGTGTTTCATTTCCAGTCTGTAGCGCGGCGTGCTGGGGCGCTGGCGTGAGGCTGCAGGGCAGGGGACGTGGCCGTGCTGTGTGTGCTGGGCCTGGCCCCTGGCCCTCGGCCCGCTCCTGGGCTGTGCCAGGCCTGTGTTTGGGGGGTGTTTCTGTCCTGTCCCTAGCAGAGTGTCCCCGAGGAAGGCCTGGCTGCTGGGCGTGGGGGTCGTCCCTAGAGGCTCTGCATTGGCTCTGAGACAGACCTTGGCCTGCACTTTCTCCCCCTGGGACCAGGGCTCAGGGTGTGACCCTCCAAGTCTCATGCCACCTAGGTGTTCCTCCTGCTTTTCCTCGCTGCCTGGGTGTGACCACCCACTGCCACTCACTGCTCTGTGACCTTGGGCAGCACCTGCCCTCTCTGAGCTTTAAGGTTTCTCCCAGAAGTGGATTTCCTAGCTTCTATCCTTGAGTGCAGCATTTGGGTGAGGATTCCTAGGTGACGTTTACGGTACAACTGTAGGCTTCACGATCTCCAGACCCTCAAGGCCGCTCTCCCTGGCTCCTCTCTCGGCCCCACTCAGACAGGTTTCCCAGACCTCTCCCAGCCCATGACCCCTGGCACCCAGCCTTCCCTGTTGGCAGGGCTGTTTTTAGAGGCCCAGTGCCCCCTCTCCAGGTGCTCCTAGAGCACCTTGGAGGATTCAAGTATCCCAAGTCTCCCTAGGCTCTGGGGGATCCCCGCCTGGGGGCAGGACAGGCAGGAGAGACACTGGTCCCAACACCCCCCTCCCCCGCCCCCCGCCAGGACTGTGTTGTCCTTCAACCCCATTTCAAGCTTTTCTGCTTGTCTGCAGACGGTCAGCATCGTGCCAGCAAAAGGGGTCGTGCCCCGGCCCTCTGCATCCCAGAATGGCTCCCTCCAGTCCTGGGCTTGGGGGCCACGGCTTCCCTACAGGCAGTAGCTCCCGTGGGCAGCCCCAGAGCCTGGCTGGGCTCCCCAGCACGTGTCGGGGGTGGGGTGCATGCTGGGGTCATGGGTGGATTCTCATCTGGCGGTTGTGCCCTGGCACCCCCTGAACTTCGGGGCTTAGGGTGGACGGGCTGGCCTCTGCTGAGGAGCACAGTGGAGGTAGCATTACTGGGGTGGGGCGGGGCAGCAGTGGGGCTGTCACTCTTGGGATCCCAGCCTCAGCTTCCCTGTTTCTTATTTTCCACCAGCCCTGGGAACTCCCTAACTGTGGGTGGAGAGATCCCTTGCCGGCCTGGGTTCCCATGCCCACCCCATCACAGGCCACCTCAGGCTCCCTTGGCCTCTGTCCTCCCTGTGTCTTGTGGTCCCCTTTGCCAGCAAGGCCTTTCTCCTGGGGGGTTCCCCCCAGCCTTTGCTGCTCACCCTTGGGCCCTCTCAGATGCTCCCCGTCGGGGGCTGGGTATCTCTCCCCCTTTGCTGGGCCCTGGAGCTGTGGGACGCTTTGAGCCTAGAGGAAGCCTCAGCCACATGGGGATGCGCCTGCAGAGCTGGCTCCTGGTCGCCTAGGCCTGGCCTGGACCCTCCAGGGCCGCAGGTCCCGGCATGGGCCTGGGTGCTGGTGGGACATGGGGAGTGGCCTCCACATTCACTGTGGCTCTTGCTCTGCAGAGGAAGCCATTCCCGCGGTCTGCAAGACCAGGACGGTCATTTATGAGATACCTCGGAGTCAGGTTGACCCCACGTCTGCCAACTTCCTGATCTGGCCCCCGTGCGTGGAGGTGAAGCGCTGTGCGGGCTGCTGCAATACCAGCAGTGTCAAGTGCCAGCCTTCCCGCGTCCATCACCGCAGTGTCAAGGTGAGCCCTGGGCCCCGCCCCTGGGGGGGCTCCAGGTACAGAACAGGGTGCGGGTGGAGCTGGGACCTGGGGCAGGGTGGGCTATCGGGGGGCGAGGGGGGATGTCTGTCTTCCTCTCCCCCCTCCCACTGTACACAGCCTCCCCGCTGAAGCGGTGAACCTCCTGGGTTCTGTCTTTGCTGCCTTTCTGTGGTCCCTGGGGGTTACCCCAAAGCCCTGTTCCAGGTGGGGTCCTGGCCGTAGCGGCCTCCAAGGCAGAGCTGAGATGTCTCTTCAGGTCACTCTGGCCTGCCAGGTTGGGATCTGTTGAGCCAGTGGCCAGAAGGTTCTGCTAGGGTCTGCTTCCCTCTGGCCTTGCTCACAGCATCTGTGAAATGAGTCTGTACCAACCTGGGCGAGCCCCAGGTAGTCCGTGTCTAGGGCAGGGCACTACCTTCCCTGGAAGCTGGCTCTGGGTGGGCCAGGGTCCCACTTGACCCTGGAGCATGGATCTGGGCAGCAGGGCACCACCCAGCCGGCCGAGTCTCAGGTGGCAGATGGGTCCCTTTTTCTTGGAATGAAGACTTCCTTTCGGGGGTTGGGAGGACGTCAGAAGCTATTCCCTGATGGGAGGCTGTTACATACCCCTGTCTGCTGCCCATCCAGGCCCTGGAACGAAGTGCCCGGGAGGCTTTCTTGGTTAGGGACCATGTAGCTGGCCCAGATCCTTGCTTGTCACTCGAGAAGGCATGTTAGACCCTTAACTGGGGCTTGACTGGACCTTTGGGGACATGGTTCTCGAGCACTTGGGGCCTTGAGCAAGCAGATTCCAGGGCTTCTTGCACTGTGATCCCCAAGGCACATACTTCCCTGTGGCAGGGCTCCCAGGGTGCCAGCCCTGGACGCTGGCTCTTGTCTCCATGGGCCTGACCCAGGCCTTCTGACCCCGTGCTGCATGGGCCCCCAGCTGGGCGCCAAGCCCAGCACTGCATCCTTTGTCAAAGGGGGAAATGGAGGCCTGAGGGGACAGGGCCTGTGCATTCCGCACCTGCTGTTGGGCCGTGGCCAGCGTGGCTTCCCCCAGGTCTCGGTGTCCTCACTTGTGCTGTGTTGTGAGGGGTCTCGAGCCCCAAGAATCCAGGGGCTGAGATCCTTCTTTCCTGGGTGTGGGGATGGTGCTGCACTTGATGAGATGAGACGGTACCACCCGTGGGTGCTGGGGCTGTCCTTCCAGTGTCCAGTTGGGCTCTCGCAGATATAGAGGTGCGGGGATGCACCTGCCTCCCGTGGGGAGTGTCCGGTCTGGGCTGGGCAGCAGTGTCCTCTCCCTGGCCCACCTCTGTGGGTGGGTGGGGGTCTAAGTGGTATGTGTTGGGGGGTGGGTACGTCCAGGCCCCTCCCTGTGAGTGACCCATGTCTGCCTTAGGCACAGGCCCAAAGGGCTGGGCAGATGGTGGCCCTGGGCCAGGGCTCCCCCCAGGGGCCTTCATCTGTTCTGATGGGTTGTGGTCCACCCAAGGGGGCAGAGGGCTAGTCCTGCAGCTGGAGCTCAGTGGCCTGGCGCATGTCCGGCGTCCTGCTCCTCTCAGACCCTTTCCTCCTCCTCCTCTCCCTGCCTCCCCATCGCGGGGTTGGCAGGGACACATCCGGCCGCAGACACTGGGGGTTTTGGCCACGAAGGGACAAAAGGTCAGTAGGAACAGGAGGCCCATTGTAGAGGCCAGCCTGGCCCCCACGCTTGCCTGCCTAGCAAGCCGTCCCTGCTCCAGTGGGGCTGAGGCAGATCTCGTGGCTTGGGCTCTGCATAGTCCTGGGTGAGAGTCCCTGAGGGGTGCTGGGGGCCCGCAGGGGACCGTGTTGCCGGGCAGGTGGGAGGTCCTGCCCGGGCTGGCACGTGCCTTGTTTTCCGGTTTATGGCCTTTTGATCACAGTTAAAGGTCACGGGCTGGAGAAGGAAAGGGAAGGCTGGGAGGGGCCACCTCCTTGAAGCCCAGGCAGTGAATTGTCCAGCCAAAGGCTGCCAGGAGTCCCCAGGCCCTGAGCGCCAGGACTCACTGAGGTTGAAGGGTGGCTTGCCATCATGCCCCTCGTAGAGGGTGCCCTGGGGCGTCTTCTGTTCCCAGCTCCATGGTGCTCTCAGGTGTGGGCCTTCACTCCCTGGGGCCAGGGCCTCATCTGTTCTCTGAGATCTGCCCTCGGTGGGGGCCGGGCCCCATGCTCCTGCTGGTCCCTTTGGGCTTGCTAGGGACCACGGCATCAGACCTCAGGGAGGGGTGAGCACGCGGGCCTGGGGGCAGGGCGGTCAGTGTTTGGGGTCTGCTCTTGGGGGCCAAGCATGCTCTGGTATCCCAGAGGGACGAGCCCTTCCTCTGCTCCCCAGTGAGGGCTGACCCTAGACCCTGCAGGCGTCTGACCCTGTGCCCCACACCCGAGACTCGCCGGCCAGGAGAAAGGGTGGTGTAGACAGCATGGCCCTTGACTCTGGTGGTGCCGCGCTGGCTGGGCCGGCTGTGGGATGGCCTTGGAAGTTGGGGCTCCCGTTATCTTCAGGCAGCCTGCGGGCATACAACCAAGTCTATCAGTCTGCTAACTCTGTAAGGCCCTCAGGTCCCCAGACGCCAGGACCCAGCTCTGTGGCCACGTCCAGGGCGGCTGGCTGTGGCTTTGCATTGCTAGACCTCAGGCTTCTGGAAGGGGGATCTGGGTGTGTTCTCTGGGGTGCCCAGGACTGGCCTCTCCACTTTGGATGGAATGGCGGACCCAGTTCAGGGTCCAGGGGAGAAATGACTGGTTCTGGCAGCGAGGGTCTCACGTGAAGGGATTCTGAGCTCCTCCCCGCCTGAGCAGGGCACTGGGCTCTGGTGGTTGTGCCCCGTGCTTGCCTGGGGAGAGCCCTGTGTGCAGGCCTCAGGAAGCCAGTGCCCCTGGGCTGTGCTGGCCTCTCCAGCCGTCCAGGGGAGGAGGGCCCCACACCACCCACCAGCTGGGTCAGGTTAGAGTACCATGACGCTGGGGGCTCCATCCAGGGGACACAGAGGGACACCTGGAGTCCTGTGTCTTAAACAACAGGGCCCTGAAGTCCCCACGCCCAGCAGGACAGATTTCCCCAACTCAGAAAGTCCCTCAGTCAAGGGATGAGCTCAGGGTCTTTGCTGTGTCCAAATACAGGCCTCCTTCCGGCGAAAGGAGACGCTCAGTTTCCCAGTGTGTAAAATGGACTGTCCCTGTACCCTCACAGGGGAGCTGTGAGCGGAACAGAGGAGCCTAGGGAATGCTGCCCCCCCCTGCCTTGGAGTGGTCAGGCCATAACCTGGGGAGGAGGTCTCAGAGGGGTCCCCCCAGGGTACTTGGTGCTCAGTGTCCCTTGTCTAGAAGGGGTCATGGCATCACTTGGGGGGTGTGGTTGGGTGGATTTGCCCCGGGAGGTGTACAGGTGGGGTGTTCAGGGCAGTGGGACACTAGAGCATCCTGTCTGGAAAGGGCAGCTCAGGCACCCAGGACACCTGGGTGAGAGGGGGAGAGGGGCGTGGCACCCTGTTCTGATTCCATGGTGGGTCTGGGGGCCAAGGCGGCGGGCATGAGGGTCCCGAGGATGTAGACGTCTTGTTCTGGGGATCGGCTGGCATGGAGGCTGCTTTTGAGAACTTAATATTGACAGTGTGTTCTTGGGGGAAAAATGCAGCTATTTCCTGGCCAGACAGAGGTGGTGGAAGGGAGCCCTCACATACCCAGAAGCAGGTGCAATCATAAATCACTGTTTGTTTTTCTTTGATAAAGATGGGCCTGTCGGAGGAGAAAGTGGGTCCCCAAGCGCAGTGACTGGATTGGGGGTACTTTGTCAAGGGCACTGGAGGGTGGACTTCTGGAGAGCCTGCCCTCCCTGAGGCGGCCAGCCTGTTACGGAGGGAACAAGCCTGCCCCTCCATCTGTGCCCCCAGAGGAAATGATAGCTGAGTCTGTGCCATGCAGGGGTTGGGGAGGGCAGGACGGGGCCCCGAGGCCTGATGAGGTGGACCCCTCCCAGTGTCCTCAAGGCCTGGGGGCTGATTGTGGGGAGGCAGGCAGGCTGATGTCAACCAGGCACTGCTGGCTCTGGAAGGTGGCCCAGCTACAAGTTCTGGTGCTTCTCTGTACACGAAGCCCTGGGGGCTGTGACTTTTGTCGGAGAACCCCATGTCCATGTCCCGAGGGTCTCTCTTCCCCCCCCCCCCCCCTTCCCCTGCCTACCATCCACATGCTCCTGCCTCCCAGAGCCTCCTAGAGCGGCAGGTGGAGCTAATCTGCCCTGTGGTTGTGGTCGCTCATTCCCGGGGCCCCTTCTGTCTCTGTTCTCTACTTAGGAACCCTCCCAGGCCTGGCCCCAAGGCTGGCCTGGCTCCCACCCCACCTCTGAGCTCACACTTGGCTGCCTGTGTTCACACCTGAGGCTGCACACCACTTCCCATGCCCTTGGGACACCCAGCCCCCTTTGCACTGTGGGTTAACCATTAATGCAGCCTAGCAGCCACGGCCACCAACAGGTCTGGACAAACCTTGGGGCCAGGTCTCCTGTGGGGTGGGCTGCCCCCTTGCCTGGGGTCCTCTGGCTTCTGGACTCTGGGTCTCTGCAGAGGAGCTCCCTCTCCCACCTCCTCCCCTCCTCACTGTCCCCAAGCTGGGCATTGCTGCTCTCATGCAGGGATCCCTTCACCCCTGTGAGCTCCCTGATGCCTCTACATGCCCCAGGTGTAACTTGGGTGGACCCTGTTCCCTTTCTGCCTTAGTTTCCCTAGGCCAACAGAGAAGGGGTGGAATGGATATCCCCCAGGGCCATTCCTAAATGAACTGGGATGAAGTGAGGCCACCTTGACTGTGCTCCCTGTGTGTGTGATGTGTCGTCCAACACCAGGTGTGTGCGCATGTGTGTGTGTGTGTAGCTGTGTTCTTGGGACGGAACGTGCGTGTGCATGTGTGGAGGGTGGTGCTGTGTTCACATGACGGTGTGTGCACACGCTGTGTGTGCACATGTATGTGCGTGTAGAGAACGGAGTGGCGTTCCCACGACAGAATGAGCCCACGGGGTCCACAGGGACTTGGTCACTGGGCTGCCTGGGCTTGAGCCCCATGGGCTGGGCCTTTTCCTCCTGGTAGGTCCGCGTGCTGCGGTTCTGTGCCAGGAGTTTGGGGTGACGTGGCCCGTGGATGGAGGAGGCCCGGCTGGAGGGGTTGTAGACCCCCCTGGATGGCCCTGGGTCCCTGCCGGTGTTTCTGAGAGGGCTGGCTTTCTCCAGTCCCAGGGCAGCCGTGGCCGGGGGGGCTGTGAGGGGGCAGCTCTGGCGTGGCCACGGGGCAGGCATTGTGGCCTGGAGCCTGTGGGGTCCTGATCTGCCGTCCATAACAGACCGGAATTCACATCCAAACCCCGACATCCTTCCTGTGGACCCTCAGGGCTGTGCTTGCTCCTCATGGGGCCACAGCACTGTGCGCAGGAGGGAGAGCAAGCCTGAGCTGTCTGCAGCAGCCCAGCGCCTCAGCCGTGGGTTTCCCCCCTTCAATAATCAAGGATGCAGCTGGACATTTGCCGTTGCCCCAGATGTCCCTGGATCTAGAAGGGAACTCCTTCCCTCTTGGGCCCCTGCAGAGCTCTTACCTTGAGGGGCACCCGGTAACCTCCCATCTTGCACAAATGAGCCTTTGGGTTTAAGGTCAAGTGGACTAAACCACAGATGTCGAGGGCTACTTTTCCACCTAGCACTCCTGCCTTGTCCACTGGGAAGGAGGTCAGAGGTTGTAGTTCAGACGTCGGCCTCCTGGCCTGGGTGGGGCTGAGCAGGTCCCCCTCCCCCGATGACTCGTGCGGGGCGGGGCCGAGGTGCTCACGGCAGGGTTGTCTCGGCAGGTGGCCAAGGTGGAATACATCAGGAAGAAGCCAAAGTTAAAAGAGGTGCAGGTGCGGCTGGAGGAGCATCTGGAATGCACGTGCACGGCCACCGGCCTGAACCCGGACCACCGGGAGGAGGAGACAGGTAAGCGGCCTTGGCCGTGGGGTCTGGTGCCGCAGCTGACCAGGGACCTGCCGGGGACCTGCTGGGACACCACTGCCCACAGGCATCAGCGGGGGTGCAAAGGGGCAGACCCTTGAAGGCCCTGCCCCACTTGGGGCATGGGGTGATTGGGGGCTGTGTGGCAGAGGCCCCACCTGGGGAGGGGGGCACTGGACACAGGGGGGGAACCTGGTGGCCTCCTCTGTCCCGGGCAGACTTTGCCCAGAAGCAGCGTGGCGTTGTGACCGCTGTGTCAGGCTGGCTCAAGGGCACCAGGAAGTGTCTCTATGCCAAAGCTAATCGAGTTTTCTTCCAGAAAGACAAACAGCTCAGGTATTTATTGCTTCAGCTTTGCAGCCCTCCCTTAGGCCCGCTCACCCTCCCTGCCCTTCTGTTAACAGGAAGGCGTAGGGAGTCAGGTAAAAAACGGAAAAGAAAAAGGTTAAAACCCACCTAACGCAGCCAACCAGGTAGGAGCTGCCCGCGGATGCGCTGCGGCCTTGCGGGTGGGGGTACACTGGCTGATCACACGGCGAATCCCTCCTGCGGCGGCCTGATTGGGCCCGATCGTCTGCAAGCTTCCGGGGTCTGGCTGGGCTGTGGGTCTGCTCGCTCCGTCCCTGGGTTCGCCCCTGGGTTCCCTACCGCCGCACATGGAGCCTGATCCATGGCTCTCTTCTGCTTGGAGCCCCTGCTCTGGCTTTGGTCTCTTCCGTTGATTGGGGAGGCCCCGGCGTCACGTGAGTGGAGTGATTTGGGTTCCTGAATGGCAGTGGGGTAGCGCCGATGTTTCTTAGCCGGGATCTCCTTGGGCAGGTTACCCGCCCCATTTGACAGATGAGAAATTGAGGCTTAAAGGATTATAGGCAAGGGTCTTCAAAGATGGGAGTAGATCTTGTTTGAAAATGTTCCCTAAACGTACGGGGCTGTTGGCTACTGTGTTGGAGATTGTGTTTGGCTGCTAGCAACACAGCAAAAGCAAGGGCTGAGATGAGGTAGGCATTTAAGAGCATGTGTGGCGTTCTCCAGGGACCCTCAGGGACCCTCTTCCGTTAGGGACTGGTGGTGTCTATCCTCAGAATTGTCTTGTGGTTCAATATGGCTGCTAAAGCTCCAGAAAGCCCATCTACCCTCCAGCCTAGAAGAGTGAAGAGGGGAGAGGGACAGAAGAACCTTCTCGGAGAAGTGCCGCCCAGTGACTTTTGCTCATACCCTTCGGCAGCAAGGGGGCCGGGGAAGTATAGTCTTGTAGACAGGTGAACTGCTTCCCAGAGGACAGTGGGGCTTGGGCAACCACAGGCCTCATGGAGACAGTTTCCGGCCTTCCTGCTCCTTGTTGGTGGCCTATCGGCTCTGGAGAATCTGGCCCTGGGCGAGCACATAGCATCCCAAACAGGTGGCTGTGGAAGAACTTCTTAGAGATGCTGTCCAAGAGCCCGGGCTCTGGTGGAGTGACTACAGAAAGCTGTGGGGTCAGCAGTTGAGGCCTGAGGGTCAGGGCCATTCATTAGAATCCTCTGGGGAGGAAAGGTCCGTGTGGGTGGGTCCCTGGAGCAGCCCCAGAACAATGGCTTGGCCAAGGCTTTTGCTTTCCCCAGGGTGTGGCTCTATGCCTGCCTGTGGGCCCAGTCTGCACATCATTGATTGGGCTCTGGCCTTCAATGGCCAGCCGGTGACGGGGACCCCAAGTGAGAGGCAGGGGGTGTCCCTGCCACCCCAGGCCCCACTAGCATGTGGGTGGTGAAGGTGTTGAGGTGAGCAGTGAACAGGTAATGTGCTGTAGCTCAGAGCCCAGCATAGCATCTGTCCAGTCGTGGAGACCCTGCCTATCTGCCTGGTGGTGTCCATCTTCAGGGTTGTCTCAAGGCCCGGGATGGCTGCCAGAGCTCCAGACATCACTGTCTCCTGGCCCTAGGCCAGGAGATAAAAGAACATGAGGAAAAAGGCAAAAAAGAAACAAACAAAAAAACCCTAACTTTCTGGGCCTCAGTTTCCCTCATCTGTGCAATGGGAGAATGGGGGCTTGCTCTAAGGAATGTTCCATGAGATCCCAAAGCCTAATCCCAGTTCTGGTCAGGATGTTACGGAAAGGGTAACGAGGGAGGTACGTTTGATTTGAAAAATTCCACCAAACCCTCAAATCCTGAGACTTGCCGCGGTGTGAGTGCGTACCCTTGATTGGGTGAAGCGTTTCGCCGCGGTCACCATCCACGCCATGGGGCGTGTGCTCAGTCCCTCCTCAGTGTCTGTCTGTCTCCTCTCTCCCCGCAGATGTGAGGTGAGGATCAGCCAGCAGCCCTTTCTCGGGACACGGATGTACATGGCGTGTTACATTCCTGAACCTACTATGTACGGTGCTTATTGCCAGCGTGTGGTCTTTGTTCTCCTCCGTGAAAACTGTCTCCGTGCGCACCCTGGAGAACAAAGAGACAGTATACATTTGTTTAATGTGACATCAAAGCAAGTATTGTAGCACTCGGTGAAACAATAAGAAGCTTCCTTGTCAAAAAAAAAAAAAAAAAAAAAGACAGAGAGAGAAAGAGCAAACAGAACCACGAAACATGACAAACAAAACTGACTCACAGAGATATCTACAGTTGTTGGAATGGAGGGACGCCCCGTGGGACGGACACGACGTGCCTCGGCGGACGGACCGGGTTTCTGTCCAGGGTGGTCACAGGTGCTTCTGCCCGGGACACAGCGCCTAATTTCCGGAGTAGTCCGCGCAGGTGCCGAGGGCCCTGCGGGGCACACGGGACTCAGAAACACATCTCTTTGCCGTAGTGTTTAAGTCTATACAGAAACCTTCCCGAGAGCCTTAAGTGGATTTTTTTTACACCATAAAGTGATTATTAAGCTTTCCTTTTTACTCTTTGGCTAGCGTTTTTTTTTGTTTTGTTTTTTTTGTTTTTTTTTTTGTTTTTTTAATTGTCTCTTGGATGACATTGACACCGATAATGCCAGGCTGCTGTAAGTCAGGACAGTGGGACGGTATTTCTCCTCGCAGGATGCAAACCGAATGAGATGTATTAAAATAAACATGGTATACCCACCTGTGCATCATTTCCGGAATGTTTCTGGCTTTACGTGTGTCTCCCCCACCCCATTTTGTCTTACTCTTTAAGCCATTTTGAGAGAACAGTGCGTGAACCAATCGAGTCCGTCCCGGCCTCTCGTGCCAGGGCCGCCCGGCCTGGCCGTGACACCCCTCTGCCAGTGTTTGGACAGAATCTAAATCCTTTATTTTTGGTAAGATGTTACTCTTTACATGTATTCAACAGAAATGTGTGTGTGTGTTGTGTTTTTGTTTTGTAAAGGTGAAGTTTGTATTTTTATCTAATATTACCACTTTTATATACCTGAGAGCCTGTTATGTTTTTTTTTTTTGAACCGAAAGGAAAAGAAAAACTCACCAACGAAACCCAAATGCGTGGAAAGCACTTTGTGCTCACGTGTTTCTAGTTGTGTAACCGAGTCTAGACCCTTCTCCCCTCACGTGTCCTCAGACCGGCTTCTGGAGCTGCGACCATCACTTGGAGGTGCCCCGCGGCCTCCCGGGAACGGGCCTGTGGAGCGAGGCCGGCGGTCGGGATGCCGGAGCCTCCCAGCAATGGGCCTGCGGAGCCGTAGGCCAGGGGCACAGCCGGGGGCAAGGCCACGTGCACATCAGAGCGGCCAAGCAGATGATGGGTTTAACCTGGAAGTGAGTTGACTCCATTGTCCCTGCACGCGAGCCAGTGAAGGCAGGCGGCCCCGTGTCGCCAGTGGCCTGCTGTCCGTGTCTCCAAAGTGGACCTGTCATGTGGTTGCCAGGATCCCTTGCCGTGGGCAGGTCTCCAGCATGAGAGTCTGGTGTCCGTGTGTTTGTGGCAGGACTTTTATAAAGGACTTGCTCCCGCAGCGCATCCTCCCAGTGCGGCTTTTGGTCTGCGGATGAGCGAAGGGAACCTGGGCTCAGGGGCTGGAGGCGGGGCACAGGGGACACGTTCCCCTGTTGTTGCCCAGCCCCGGGTGCAGCTCGCGGGTGGAGGACGGCACCATCCCAGTTCCTGTGCTGGGCATCTCGAGGCTGAGCTGTTCATGACCCCGTGCCCTGGCGGTAGGTGTGACGTAGGTGGACGATGGGACTCATCTCTGTGAGATGCTGAGAATACCAGCTGGGGTTTCCCTTTGCCCAAAGCTGGCAGACGAAGGATCTGTTAGCAAGGAGCAGAAAAGCCTGGTGCCCTCCTGGGGATGGAGGGCCCTGGAGCCCAGGGGCTGGTTGGGGGGAGCCCCGAGGTGCCTCCTGTCCCCCTGCTGAAGGCCTTTGCTGCTGGGCAAGGTTGGGGTGGGCAGGGAGAAGTCCACGCCCAGCCAGGAAGGGGCTGCCACCCGGCGGAGGCCGCGGTCTGTGGCTGGATTGTTTCTCGATTGCAGGCCTACGTGGCCCACAGGCTTTGTTGCGGCTTTGCCCTAAATTCTTGGCATTTCTTCTCCTGCCTGGGCCCCTCCCAGCCCGGCACCCTGGCCTGCACCTGGGTGCGCCCAAGAAAGGCCGTGTCTGCTCAGGGCTGGTCCTCCGCAGCCTTTCCTTGAGCCACAGGCCCCTGTTGTCATCTGTGCGGTGGGGACTGTAGCTCGGCGTATGGCTAGGACCCTGTACTGTGCCCACGGGGACCCCAGCAGGGCCCTCCCTGTGTGGAAGCACGGCAACCCCCCCACCCCTGCCCCAGCATGTCACCCTGTTTCCTGGCCCAGCGCTGCAGAGGAGCAAGGCCCTCGGGCAGCTTCCCTTCCGCTGGGTGCACCTGCCTGGAGACCCCACCTGGGCACACCTGTCCTTGCCCAGGTGCCTCCCCACCCAGCCTGGGCAGCCCCCTCTCCCCGCCCCCCACACTTGCCGTCCTGGTCCGTGAAGCAGGTGTGCCTGGCGTTGTGGGGCTCCACACGCCACTCTCCAGCCTGGGCCAGGCCCTGACCACTGCGTTTTGGGGGTGGCGACAAAGGACAGAGCACTGTGCACTTGATGTGCCTTTGACCGCCTTGGAGGGACCCTGAACGGGAGAGGGGGGCACACTGAGTTCTCCATGTTGGGGACACAGCAGGGAGACTCCCGCAGCCTGGCCTCGGTCTCCCTGGGAGACCAGCCAGGGCGGCCACGCCCCAGGGCCTCCCTGGGCCCTTCACAAGCCATGGAACAGGGTTAGGAGCAGTGGCCGCCCGGACCCCCGGGAGAGCAGCATGCTCAGGGCCAGAGGAGAAAGAAGGGGGTCTGGACAAAGCCTCCTGTGCTCTCCTCGGGAGGCAGACCCCAGGTCCTGACCTGTGACCTGGCATCGTGGCCGATCCCCCTGGGCACTTCGCCGTGTGCATTTTACTGAAGTGTGTGTGGTTGACTGATGGCGTCAGATGTGCAGCGTAGCGAGGGGACTGTTCTCTCCATTACTCTGTCCCTGCTTGACATTATCACACCACCAGTGACTATCCCCTCTGCTGTCCTTCCCACCCCTGGCACTTGCTTGTGTTCTAACTGGGAGTTTGTGCCTCTGAATTCCGTTTTGCCCACCCTCCACCCCCAGCAGCGCTGTTAGGTCTCCTCTCCTCCCCATCACCACGCCACACAGAACGCAGCTGTCCTACAGGAAGGCCAGCCCTTGGTCCCAGCTGCTCCCAGCCGAGCGGAGGCCCTGACATAGAAGGCTGTGCCACAACTGCCTTGTTTCACCCCAGGTTGGAGCAGAGGTTCCTGGTCCCTGGGCCAGGCCCCTGGCAAGTGTCAGGGTTGTGCTGCTGTCCGTGCCACGGCACATGGCATACGTGTACAGATGGGGACAGAGGCTCCAATGCTCTGGCGTCCCCCGCCCAGGGCAGTATTTGGAGGTGGGGTTTGAGCCCGACCCCCTCCCTGCTTGCGTCAGGGTCGTGCTGCTGTCCGTGCCACAGCACATGGCATTACATGTACAGATGGGGACAGAGGCTCCAATGCTCAGGCGTCCCCTGCCCAGGGCAGTATCTGGAGGTGGGGTTTGAGCCTGGCCCCCTCCCTGCTTGCGTCCGCGCAGGCACTGGCTGTAGCTCCCTTGGGGAGCCTGCTGCTGTCCCAGTCCAGCCCCTGCCAGCTGTGAGCCAGGTGGCCCCGAAAATGGGTCCCATCCTGGGGCTCTGGGTATCAGGGCCCCCTGCAGGGTGCGGTGGGTGCCCAAGGCCCTGCCTATTGCAGAACCCATTTTACAGCGGCACAGACGGGGGCTGGGCGTTGCCCAGTGTGGCCGGGATGGGTCTGCATTCCCTGAGCGATGCATTAAGAATTCAATTAACCCTGATGCTATGACCATCATTTTCGGCGGTGACATAAAGTTCAACTTTTTAAAAGACTGCTGGTTTCCGATACCAATTCAGGCAGAGCAGGGCTCAGGCAGTGCTCGGCAGCTGTGTCTTGGCCCACAGGATTGAGTGGCAGGCTTGGGGGACCTCTGGGCCAGCCCGGGATTCAGGGCACGCAGATGAGGGTGGACGTCCGTGTTCTGAGTGGTGCCTCGGCTCCTGAGAGCAGAGCCTGAGGAGGGCTGGTGGGGAGGTAGTTCCTTGGAGCCTTCCCAGGGGAAGGGGGTGCGCTGAAGCACTGCGGTGGTGCACATGTGCACGCACAGTTCTGCAGGCTCCCTCCCTGCACGAGAGGAGGCGGGCAGGGGCCCCTGGGTGCTGTCAGGCCGCCACTGCCAGGGACGCCTGTGTGGGACTGAGTGGGTGGGCTGGGAGGACGGAAGGAGAGCACAGCCATGCAGAAGGCAGCCACGGGAACCAGCGTGCTGGGGCCGTGTCTCCCCAGCGCTGGGACTGATCTGATGGCCTCCTGCGGCCCAGACTTCCCAGTGCCCCCAGCTCCGTGCCACCGTTCCCGCCCACACCTCGGTGCCACTTGGAATGAAGTTTGAAACCGGGGACGGGCCTCCGGCCCGGTGTGGCCAGGAACTGTTGCTGTGTGCTCTCCACTGACACGCTGGCTCCATTCATTTGTGAGGACCACACGGCCCAGCTAAGGAGCCAGTGTCTTTGGGGATGGGGCTCCATGGACAGGCATCCCCTGGAGCCCACGAACTAGGCAGAGGGAGGCCCTGAGCCCACCCTGGCTGAGCAGGACCATCTATAAAGAAGTCCGTCGGTGGACCCATAGTGTGCACTGTTGGGGGCAGCAGAGGGTGGGGTTTGAGAATGTGACTCTGCCGGGCTCTTCTATGCCCTGGACCCAGCCGGTAGTGAGGCCTTACCGTGTGACCTTGGACGACCTTGCCATGTGACCCCCAGCGTCCTCACTGGATGACTTTGGCAAGTCCCCTCCCGCTCTTGAAAACCGTTGCTAGATGTCTGTGCTGGCGGCCTCGGTGTGCGCAAAGGGCTTGGCCGATGGCAGCCCCTCGGAATGGAGTCACCGGCTCCTCGAAACACAAAGGAGGAGTAAGGGAGGGACTGCCCCTCAGGCCAGGGGAGCACGAATGGGGGGCTGCACCAGACCCCAAAACTGTCTGTCAAATCCACCTTCCACCTACCCATGCGGCCTCCCAAACAGGGACGGCACTGTCTGAGTTCACGCACCTGTCCACCCTCCCAAGCCGCAGGCATGGAGTGTGCAGAGGAGGTGAAGGCTGGCCCAGGTGGCCTCCAGGGATGAGGGCCTGGAAGGTTCTCTGCCTGCCCCTCCTGGTCGGGACCACCTCGCCCTGCCCACACCTTCTGCTGACATGACATCTGGGTCCTGGCTGTCTCCTCCCTGGCTGGGGACTTTCAGAGGCAGGAGTAGGAGCTGGGTTACTGAGCAGCCCATGAAGGGAGGCCCAGTGGCCCCTGGAGCGCCAGGCCGAGCCCAGGTCCTCGTGCCCCTGAGGGCCCCTGGGGTCCTCCATCTCAGGAGGTCCTTGCCCCCACTCACCTGTGGGGTGTGGGTGGTGCTCGGCCTGGCCTCAGAGGGCCTGGCCTTGGAGGTGACAGCAGAGTGCAGGAGCTGGCCTGCCACCCCACGACACCCACCCCCACTCCCTGCAGGGCACGGGGAAGTAAAGCGTGCGGTTTCTGCAGAATAAAAC